CAAATAGGCACTAATGGCATGGCATTAGCTAAAGACTGGTTTCATTGCAATAATTTTATACTGGGTGTTATGGGAGTTTAGTGAGACTTTAGTACTTCTTTTCTGTCCTTGCTCCAGTTTACAAATATTGCAGTGATGGCCAACCCTTGACCTAATAGTGGCCAGAGCAGTAACCGGAAAGTGCATTTGTGCCTTACCGTATAGATAGAAAAGTCTTCATTACCTGAAATGGACATCAAGAACAATATTAGTATCTCTACATTCCGCCCCTAGTTTAAAATGTGATACAAAGGGCTGGTTATTACCAATAAAGTCCTAAACGGTTAGGGTCCAGGCTATTTGACTTCTCACATTCCCATTTATAAATCCGCTCGGACTCTGATCATTGGAGGGGGCCCTCCTGTCAGTCCCATCCCTGTGTCAAGCATGGCTGGTGGGAACGAGAGAAGGGGGGCTTCTCTGTGGTCGCTTCTTCCCTCTGGAACTCCCTCTGTAAAGATATCAGAACAGCCCTCACTTATTCCTTCTTAATACCTTTAAGAAGGAATTTAAACCCTATATTACATTGCAATACATTGTAAAACCTGACATCTGTTGAGATTAACCTCACAATTCAGCAGCAGATCAGTTGCACTACTTCAGCGCTTTCCAGTAGCTTCTTCCTGGACAGTATTTTCAGTCAACTGCTCCCACAGCTTGCAGTCACGCTGGAACCTTTTACAGACACTAGAGCACATGCCCGGCCATTGTCAGTTTTACCATTGTCTTTCCCCCAGTCTAGATGATATTACAGACTTACCACAGCATACAGTTATATCTTGTCGTAGCAGACAGGCTCTTTTAATTATATATAGCCTTCGACGAACAACATCACAGCACAAGGAGAGAAATATACACTGTACATGACTTCCTTATATACAATTCATTTACACATAGCAATCACCGATTGGTTCCCAACTCATTAACTCAACTCAAATCCAGGATTGCATCATTCACAATCACCTGGACTAGGCCAAAACACATTCCCCAAATTAAGTTCTATATACAGTTAATGCATGACTCAGCATTTCCAATAGAAGCCCATTAGCAGTGCATGACTCAGCTATATTACATTGTAATACATTGTAAAACCTGACATGTTCGTAGGCCTACGGAGAGGAGGACGGATTAAATTATTGATACGGACAATGACCGTTAAAGTTTAGTTAATTTTATTTAAGTCTAATTTATTCAAGAGCTATATTTTATATCCTCTGCAGAATTTAATGTTTACTATGACCAATGATACCTGACTTGTTGTTTTCCACACTGTAGTTAAAGTCATCTTGAAAATGTGATTTCAAAACCAGATATTTCTAAATTGGCCTTGAATGACTGTTCTGCTGATTGTATATATTCTCTCTCTTCCAAAAAAGCTTTCCAGCAAAATCAAAGAATTGCAGGAGAACAACTTGGAACAAAAGGAATTCTTCAGCCTGAAAGTACAACTTGAGGAAGCTCACCAGAAGCTAAATGAAATGGAGCCGCTCAAAGACCAGTTGAAAGCTTGGGAGTCTAAGATGGAGATTGCAGAGACAGAGAGGCAAGCCATTACTCGGATACTTGACAATAGCAAAGAGGAAATAACAGCACTGACTCAAGAAAGAGATGACCTGAAGCAGAAGCAGGAGGCTCTTAAGCAGGAAAGAGACCAGATCCAGGCAGATATAGAGGAAACAGTATCAATGGTAAGCCTAAACAGCAAGTACACAAGTAGAGAATGGCAAATTGTGGTTAGAAAATGCAGTAATACCACTGCATTAAAGCTTATACGTCAGAGTAGGAACTGTGGAAGGCTAAAAAGCAGCATTAGCTCCCTAGGAGATATTGGAGCACTTATTTCTACAAATAAGTAAATAAAAATGGCCTGTAAATACTTTTGAGGACACTTTTAGTATGTTTGGGGTTTCAAAACAACCTGGTCTAAAATTGGCCTGTGGACAGCAAAATATGGTGGAAATACCTAGAGTGTATTTGGAGGCATTCAAGAACAAAAAATGGAGTCACAAAATGACCCATGGACCATTATTTGCCCACCATACTAATTGTACATGTGTTTTATCTTTTCTCTTTTAATGTAAAAGAACATTGAAGTTCAGGAAGAACTGAGAAAGGCTCATGATTCTTTGAGGCAATATCAGGATCACATTAAAGAACTAGAAGAAACTATTGCAGCAAGAGACAGGGAGTTGTCAGCTGTCAAAGAGTCTCTGGGAACCACCATTGAAGAACAGAAGCAACAGGTGAGGTGACTGCAACGAGGAAAGCTTTGGTTATGCGTATCGCTTAGAATTTAAGGCCAGTTGGATCCACTATTGGATCTGTGATTTGCTATAGATTTGGCAATTGGTTCTGTGTCTGATTCCTGATTTTTTAAGACTACAGTTGACTCCAAAAGACGTCAGCTATATGATTTTTAGGAGTTCAGATCAAGAAATAATATAGCAGAATTTTCTCTCCAAATCTGAAAGGAAGTTCTTTGTGCTTTCACTGCAGTTCGACAATTCATATGTCACCTCTGTTATTTTGTTTTCGTTTCAATAAATTATGGCAGCATAAGAAAAGCTGTCAATTGTTCGTGATACTTGAATGAAGAATTATCCCAACCCAACGTTTCATTATTACATTGCTAGAATTATGCCCCCAAATGTGGGAGTAGGCCCCTCAGACATTATCTTAACTCCAAGCATGGCTGCTATAGTGTGGTCATGAGTTCTTTTCCCATTATTTGCTACCTGATTCCTATTTAATTGGAGATAACTGGTGATTAAGGTAAAGGTTTCCCCTGACATTAAGTCTAGTCGTGTCCGACTCTAGGGATAGTGCTCATCTCCATTTCTAAGACAAAGAGCCGGCGTTTTCCATAGACACCTCCAAGGTCATGTGGCCAGCATGACTGAATGGAGTACCCTTGCCTTCCAGCAGAAGCAGTATCTATTGATCCAATCACATTTGCATGTATTTGAATTGCTAGATTGGCAGAAGCTGGACCTAACAACATAAACTAACCCCACTCCCTGGATTTGAATCGGCAATCTTTCAGTCAGCAAGGGCCTCACCACACTAGAGAATGAATCCACTTTAAATCTGGTTGCTGCCTCCTGCAGAATTCTGGGGTTTGTAGTTTAAGGAGCTTCAACAACCTCACTAAACTACAAACCTCAGAATTCTACAGGAGGCAGAAACCAGATTTAGAATGGATGCATTCTCTAGTGTGATACAGTTGCAAGTTCAGCAGCTCATCAGTTTAACCTGCTGCACCACGAAGGGTCCCAAACTGGTAATTACACCTGTTAATTCCTGCATATATAATGAACACTGTATTTGTGATGATTCCTCAACATTTCTCCCTTGTCCCCAACCAATAAATAACAACAAACTGCTCTTCATTCCAGAGTTGGTCGATGTAGGATGGAAATGAGCCAGTGTGTTTGACAGTCCTTTTTGTAATATCTTTACTTGTTCAGCTCTTCCTATTGCAAACTGTTAGATTGTATTGGATGTATATTGCACATTAGCAAGAAATGAGTTCGTTTTTACTAATGCTCACCTTTAAAAAAAAACCTCAAAAAAAGATGCTTAAGAACACTTTAAGACAAAGGTGGACAGCACACAGTCTGTAAGTTCCCCCACTTGGTTTCATGAACCTGGGGCAACTCACAATTCAATGTCACAGAATATTCTTCGTTTGGGAGGAAAAGTGGTAATTGAATTTCTGGAAATTTTTAGGAAGTACAGTTTACCTTTAATTTCCTCACACATACCTCTATGCTTTTTAACAGTGTTTTTTTCCCCCTTTTTGTCAAGAGAGATGGAACAGTTTGTAGTTGGCCCCAAGGAAAGGAAACTCAGCTGTTGATCAGGATTATTTCTGTATTTTGGTTTATTTACTTATTATTCCTTCCCTAATGACAATAAATTATTGTAAACAATAGATAAACCTAAAACAGCTAGTAATATTTTTTTTACACTATATCTTTTTGTCTTGGTAGCTGACTGAACAATTAAGCTTGCATATAAGTGAAAAAGAAAGATTGGCAGCTGAGCTTAGACACCAAACAGAAAGAGCGCAGCAGATAACAAACGAGAGCTCTTTGTTTCAGGAGAAAGGAGATAAACTTCTTCAGGACTTGCAGAGCCTTAGAGCAGAAAATGACCAACTCCGAGAAAGCATGCTCGAAAATACTGCAAAGGTATGGAAACCAAAACACTTTGGCTGTGAGATACTGTCCTGTTTGTTTCCTTGTTACAGATATTTGAGTCTGACACCAGCCTTGTGGACATTAACAATCTAACTTCATTTCAAGGGTGAACAATGTGATTGTGAGCCCCATCCACATTGTTCCGAACTCCACTTTTGTGCCCCATGAAACTTTATCAGTCTTCCAGTACCAACTCCTCATTTTTCAAAATAAGTGACATGATTTTGGATTATTTCTTGTCCCAAAACACACAGAGAAATCCAAACACATTGCAGAAACACCCCCACCTACAGAAAGCAAAAGCCTTTCTTCAAATGTTGGCAGGAAATGACACAATGTCACTGTCAGTCACCATTTTGGGAAGGAATTTAATGAAGAGGAAAGTATTTAGAGCATGTTTATAAGCATGAACGGCCAGGATGCTACAATTGACTACTTCTTCCCCTGACAGTTGGCCACTGTTCCTTTACAAAATTTCCAGAGTTTGGAAACATTGCTTTTTTTGTATTGTAATCACCCCAATATCAGGTTCCCCACTCTTCATCTCTAGAACAAAATTGTGGTAGACTTCTCCCCAAGTAGGTTCTGTTGAAGTACTTCACAGTTCAAGGCTGTAGACTGACCTTGAATAGCCTTCTGTCTTTGGCTGACTACACCTATTTCTTTTGACTTTATTCAAGCTGTCTCTTAAGATACAAGAGCTGCAAGATAAAGAGAAGAAACTGGAGGAGTTGCGTGGGTTAAAACAAGAGCTTAGTGAATCCCAGTGGGAACACAATGGACCGGACCAACTGTATGAAGAGTTAAAGGCGGAAAAAATGGAGAAGCTGGAAATGACGCAAAGACTTGGTGATAGTGAAGCGGAGAGAGACGTCCTGACCCAGGAAAGAGATGATTGGAGGAAAAAGTGGGAAGCGGAGAGAGAGGCATTCAGAGAAATTGAGAAAGAAACCTCCTTAATGGTAAGCAGGAGCAGAACTGGGCCAAGACATTTTGCTCTCTGAAAACTTGGTGATAGTGAAGCTGAGAGAGACACCCTAATTCAGGAAAGAGATGATTTGGGGAAAAGGTGGGAAGTGGCATGTGAAATGGCACGTATGTCTACTAGTCCAGACGCATAGAACCTATGGCTAGTCAAGTTAGGTTTGTTTGGAAATCCCAGAAACATCTGTCTCATCAATCAAAATTACCTTTTTAACATTTTAAGAGTCAATGCTTGAGATGACTGCCTCAGTCTACTTACTTAATTGTAGACTTGGTCTGCCACTAAATAAGCAAGAACTGATTCTCATTTGCCACTCATCTTTCTAAATTTAACTTGCTTCAAAAATGAGTGAGTATGGAGAAAAGTCAAAATGGAAATGAGGAAATGAAAAACTGGCCTTAACCTGGGAATAGAGAGAGGAAATGAATCTACTCTGAATGTAGAAATGAGTCCAGTGTAGACAAACCTGGAGGAGAGTTTGGACAGAATTTATAAAACTTTTTTTCTCTATGGCCCTTTCCACAATGCTGTATGAAATCTGCATTGAACTGGATTATATAGCAGCGTGGACTCAGATAACCAAGTTCAAAGACAGATAATCAAGACAGATAATCCACAATATCTGCTTTGAACTGGGTTATCTGAGCCCACGCTGCTACATAATCCAGTTCAAAGCAGATATTGTGGATTATCTGCCTTGATATTCTGGATGACATGGCTGAGAGGAAGGGCCCTATGACTTTCAGTATCCCACAGTCAACATGGCTTCAGCCTGGCTAGCTGGGGAATCTTTGGAGAAGTAAACCAGGAAAAAGTACTGAATTTCAGCATTTTCATCTCTCCTTCCCAGCCCTCTTTTAAAAAATAAATCTGCATAAAATTGAGTAAGGAAACAGGAGTACCTCTGCTTAACCCCATCTCCTAATAAATCCTGTCTTTAGATGCAGAAACTACAAGAAGAGTGTCTCCAGCTTAAGCAAAGCCTTGAATTGAAAGAGGAGCAGAGGCAAAAAGATGAAGAAAGGCTGAATGAAGTAGAGCGGCTGAAGGCCACAATTGAGTCCAAAATGGAAGCCATGGAGAAAGAGAAAGCAGAGTTGGCTCAGAAACTTGACACTACCTTGGAAGACATGAGATCTGTAACTATGGAAAAGGAGACTCTGAAAATCACACTAGAGGGTCTTCAGGCGGATAAGAACTGTATGATTCAAACTTTGCGTAATCTGAGCGAGACTGTAGACAAGACAGTTTCAAGCGTAAGCACCTTCTAATACAATTTAGAAATAAAAAGTTTTTTATGGCAGTTGCCGTTCGTCAGTAACTCACTAGCCCTTTTTTCTCTTTAAGAATTTGCAATTGCAAGAGCAACTCCAACGAGCTCACAATGCTGTTGAAGAACATACTAAAACAGTGGCAGAACTGAAAGCAGAAATCATGGATAAAGATTCTTGGACTTCAAAACTTCAGGAAACATTGAAGCAAGAGGTAAGAAAATAGAGAATTCCAAGCTAGTCTCTTTATTTCAAAATAAATAAGAAAAGAATAATTCTCCACTACACATTTTATTTTGTGATACTATCTACTTAGTTCTAGCAACAGGAAGTGCAGGTGATATGCTGATTTATTTCTTAAGACGATATCACATGAGCATTTTAAAACAGAGGGGTTTTATTTTTGGTTTTTTGGTTTTGTTTGTTTGTTTTTGTCGTGTCAGGAGCAGTTGCTTCTGGTGTGAGAGAATTGGCCGTCTGCAAGGACGTTGCCCAGGGGACGCCTGGATTATTTTTGATGTTTTTATCATCCTTGTGGGAGGCTTCTCTCATGTCCCCGCATGAGGAGCTGGAGCTGATAGAGGGAGCTCATCCGCCTCTCCCTGGATTTGAACCTGCGACCTGTCGGTCTTCAGTCCTGCCGGCACAGGGGTTTAACCCACTGTGCCACCGGGGGCTCCAAGGCAGAGGTGCCTGCTTTGCTATCGCCTAATTGGCTCCTGCAGAATTTTGGGAAATATAGTTCAGGGTTGAAAATTTGGAATTCTCAGCATCCCTAAACCGCATTTCTGAAGGAGAAAATCAGGCGATAACAAAGTGGACACCTTCACTTTAGAATACTAATGTGATATCATACTGAATGATTTTTCAGTTAGTTGACATTAACAATGCTATATATTGTTGTTGTTTTTGAAGACTGGGACAGAAATGGAGAGCTTGCAAGCACATATCCAACAGCAAGAAGAGAAGATTAATAACCTGAAGAAAGTTATTGATGAGAAAACACATCTGCATCAGAAATTGGAATCCAAATATTTAGAAGAGAACGAACAGTTAAGAAAGAAAGTAAGAAAATAATGTGTTCTTTGTACCCCAATGATCAGGAAGTGGGTGGGGCTGTCGCATCACCCTTAACCCCTGGATATGCTGGAATTGATGGATGTGCTACTCACATCATTCAGTGAGTTCACGGTGTACACAGTTGAATAACTGCAGATTGTATGAAGTGCTACACTTACGAGCCATCTCTCAGTAACTGACTAGTACTTTTTTCTCTTTAAGAATGTGCAACTGCAAGAACAACTCCAATGTGCCCACAATACTATTAAAGAACATACTAAAACAGTGGCAGAACTGAAAGCAGAAATCATGGATAAAGATGCTTGGGCTTCAAAGCTTCAGGAAACCTTGAAGCAAGAGGTAAGAAAACAGAGAATTCCAAGTTTAAAGTATGCCAGTCTGTTTATTTGAAAATAAATAAGTGAAGAATAATTCTCCACTGGGCATTTTACTTTGTAATGCTATCTACTTAGTTATAGCAACAGGAGGTGCAGGTGATATACGCTGATCTATTTCTTAGGGTGATATCACAATAGCATTTTAAAGCAGAGGTGCCTGCTTTGCTGTCGCCCAATTTGCTTCTGTAGAATTTTGGGAAATATAGTTCTTGGCCAGGACTTCGGAATTCTCAACCCCCCTAAACTGCATTTCTGAAGGAGAAAATCAGACGATAACAAAGCGGGCACCTCCATCCTAAATGAGTTTCCAGTTAGTTAATCTCAACATTAAAATAAAGGTTTCCCATGACATTAAGTCTAGTTGTGTCCGATTCTGTGGGGTGGTGCTCATCTCCATTTCTAAGCCAAAGAGCCAGCTTTGTCCGTAGACACCTACAAGCTCAGGTGGCCAACATAACTGGATGGAGCGCCATTACCTTCCCACATAAGCAGTATCTATTGATCTACTCACATCTGCATGTTTTCAAACTGCTAAGTTTGCAGAAGCTGGGGCTAACAGAAGCTGGTGCTCTCCAGATTCGAACCACCAACCTTTCAATCAGCAAGTTCAGCAGCTCAGTACTTTAACCTGCTGTACCATCAGGGGACCTCAACATTACTATTTATTGTTGTTGTTGTTTTTGAAGACTGAGACAAAAATGGAGAACTTGCAAGCACAAATCCAACAGCAAGAAGAGAAGATTAATAGTATGAAGAAAGTTATTGATGAGGAAACACATATGCAACAGAAATTGGAGTCCAAATATTTAGAAGAGAATGAACAGCTAAGAAAGAAAGTAAGAAAATAATGCATTCTTTGTACCCCAATGGTCAGGAAGTGGGTGGGGATGTTCCATCACCCTTAACCCCTGGATGTGCTACTCACATCATTCAATGAGTTGCATGGTCACGGTGTACACAGTTGAATAACTGCAGATGTATGAAGTACTACACTTACAAGCTGCTGCAAGTTCAGCAGCTCAGCACTTTAACCTGCTGTACCATCAGGGGACCTCAACATTACTATTTATTGTTGTTTGTTGTTGTTTTTGAAGAATGAGACAGAAATGGAGAGCTTGCAAGCACAAATACAACAGCAAGAAGAGAAGATCAATAGTATGAAGAAAGTTATTGATGAGAAAACACATCTGCATCAGAAATTGGAGTCCAAATATTTAGAAGAGACTGAACAGCTAAGAAAGAAAGTAAGAAAATAATGCATTCTTTGTACCCCAATGGTCAGGAAGTGGGTGGGGATGTCCCATCACCCTTAACTTAAATGTGCTGGAATTGATGGATGTGCTACTTACAGCATTCAGTGAGTTGCATGTTCACTGTGTACACGTATGAAGTGGTACACTTACAAGCCATAGCTCTCATTGGGCATATGTTCATCTGATGGGACACAATATTTCTAAAGGTGGAGTTGGCAGTGTCTTTCCTTCCAGATGTTAAGAGTCAGTGGGCCAAAGCTAGTGACATCCTGAAGAGTGTTAGAGAAGCCTCGTGTGAATAAGGTCCAGTGTGAAGGCTGCTGTGTGTAAAGCTACAGTGTATTTGTTTATTTGTGTTATGGAAACCTTGTTGTCAGGCCCGTAGCCAGGATTTTGATTCGGGGGGGGGGCTGAGTTTGATTCGGGGGGGGCTGAGTCTGAGTGAAAGAGGGTCTACCCTAGCAAACCTTTTGTATCATTACCCCAATACCCCCATGCATATGGGATATATTGAGCATGGTGATCAGATCATGATATGAATAAACATAACAGTCTAAATAATGTACCAGTAAGGCCTTTTCGCAGACCACAATGAGAATTTCGGGGGGGCGGGGGGCTGAAGCCCCCAAAACCACCCCCCTGGCTACATGCCTGCTTGTTGTAAATAGTGCAACCATATTTTACTCCAAAGAAAACCCTCCTATGTAAGAGATAACATTGGTCTGTGTGATTTTGTTCATTTTATCACTTTGGACTGCTGGTGCTGGGTCACGCTGCTGCTAATAAGTTACTCTGCTGTACATTTATGGGGAGGGTATTTTGTTAATAAGCCCCACTCACCCAGCAAGGGTTATGGGCCCAGTATAAACCAGTCTAGCCCAGAACAGACAATTGTGATGCTGAAGAAATATGTCAATGGCATATTTCTTTTGAAAGGTTGAATAACAGCAATTCCCAAACCAGCCCTTCATTTTTCAAAATACATGGCATGATTTGGGAGTATTTCTTGACCCCAAACACACAGAGTGATCCAAACACGTGCAGAAACACCCCCAGCTACAGAAATCAAGAGTCTTTCTTCAAATGTTGGGAGGAAATGACACAATGTCACTATTGGTCACCGTTTTGGGAAGGAATTGAATGAAGATGAAAGTATTTAGGAGCATGTTTATAAGCGTGAACAGCCAAGGATGCCACAATTGACTACTTCTTTCCCAGACAATTAGCCACTGTTCCTTTACATAATTTCCACAGTTTGGAAGCATTGCTTTTTTTGCATTGTAACTCCCAGAACCCTCCAGCCAGCATGACTTTTCAAAAATTTTACTAAATTGTATACCTGGAAGCCTTTGGGTTCTTTCAAGCCCTGCTATATATATTCCATTTGAGCATTGCTAATACTATCACAAAAGCGTAAGGACCCTCATTCAAATTATGATTTCACTTTAGTATGTTCAGTACAGTCTCCTTATACATGGTTTCAGTACCCACAGTTTAGCCCACGCTCGAAATCCAACCCCACCCCCCTCCCCACAAAGTGTTTGTGAGATTTTCTAGCTCTTCCACTGCAATTCTGTGGTATGCCTCTGAAACCTCCATAGTAAAAATATATGGTTTGCTAATATTTGTGGCTTCAGGTATTCATGGGGGTCTTGGAAAATATATCGGGCAGATATGGAAGATAATGTATGCATTTTAGCAATCAGCCCCAGTGGCGCAATGAGTTAAACCCTTGTGCCAGCAATACCGCTGACCGAAAGGTCAGTGGTTCAAATCCGTGGAGTGGGGTGAGCTCCCATCTGTCAGCTCCAGCTCCCCATGCGGGGGACATGAGAGAAGCCTCCCACAAGATGGTAAAACATATGGGCATCCCCGGGCAATGTCCTTGCAGATGGCCAGTTCTCTCATAGCAGAAGCGACTTGCAGTTTCTCAAGCTGCTCCTGACACGAAAAAAATAAAAGCTATCAGATGACCACCGGCTAACCAGAATAAGTTCTCAAAATCTGGTTTAACTGTTTCAAAACTAAATATGTTTTTATTTGTCCTAAATCGCTCAGTAATTTATGGGTCAAAACCAATACCTTGAAAGAAAAGTTCACGTGATCTCAAAAATACTTACTCGTCAGTTTTGTTTCTGAACACTTTATAATCCCCAACTGTGTTTGGAAATGTGCATAGGAATAGTTTTTATGCTGCAATGTGTCCCTCGTTCTTAATGAAGCCATCATAGATGCAGGTAATGGGTAATCTGTGAGTTGCATGTGATCCTCAAAAGACCATTTCTGGATTCCAGATTGTGCCCTCACCTATCAATATATTTAGATTCTCCTCACCATCCCGTAAATCGCTTTTTCTGGAAGCATCTAGGAGCAATAATTCTCCTTTTAGATAGACCTCCTGCATTGTTTAACATCTGAGAGAATATCATTTTCCCAATCACAATGGCTTTTAGTTTCTTTCTGTGCCAGATTCAAATCACATCTATCTACTTCCATGTCCTCTCCCTCCCATCTTCAGGGTTGTCAGTGGGATCATTTAACAGAAAAGTGAGCAAGACCTTTAGAACTTGCCTACTCATATTCTAGGATGTATTCTGTATTTTTTTTTCAGTTTCCTGAAACAAGTGTCCATGAGGTGCAACAAGATTTCATAAAAAGCTTGGATGCAAAAATATTAAGGATAAAGGTAAATATTAGTACATGAAGAAACTTATAGTTGATCCAAATACTAAATTATTCTTGATTTTCCTGGATGCTAGTTCAGTAACTCCCAAAATACATGAAAGTATAAGAATAATTAATTCTGTGTCAGCAGTGTTAGGAGTCTTTCTCATTTGAATGTCTATAGAGCAATCCAGCTTCCTGCCAATCCTACTGCAGGAAACAATGTTCTTTCTTCTGTTTTTTCTGTTGACTCCTCTCCTCCATCAACTTTTTTTGGATTTTGAATCTCCCTGTTTGTGAGATTCACAGGGCTTTCTGGATTTAGATGAACTACAACTTCCATTTTCCTGTGTCTGTCTCCCCCCCCCCAAAAAAAACCCACCCCCTTCAGTACTTAAAGTTAGTCATGATATGTATGTGTGCCAGAATTGGTCCAGATCCATCGTAAGTGGCCATGATAAGGCTCACTGTATGTGAAAGCTATCCTGGGAAATACACACATACATACATATATTTTATATTTTGTTTTTTATTATATACTAGTAGACTAGTAGATACTTGAATTGGTGACTGATGTCTTGCCCATCTATTTATCTTGCTGAAGATATTATGCACTATGGGACACTAAATTACATCTGTTAAACTCTTGTTACTAGATACGTTTTATTGATTGGCCTATTGGCCGTATCAAAACATTTAACACATAACACAATTAACACATAGTCATACATAGTCATACATACAACATACAACCCTCGGTATAAAAGGAGTTAAAATAAACAAGCTGTTAACAAGATCTCAAGTAAACAAGTAAACTCTTGTTACTAACTAACGAGAATGACTGTGTGCTCTGTGTATGTGTATGCACATACGTGTTTTGGTTACATACAGATATGCAAATGCATACATTCTATTTTGCTGTTTATTTTTAGCCAGTTTCCTTTTATTTTAGGAAGTTCAAAAAACATTTTCATGTCTGGAAGAGAGATCGAAGTGTCTTAAAGCAGCATCTCTTCAAATTCAATGTGCATTCAACCATCAGAAATCTGTGATATCTAAAGGACTTGCTGATCTTTCACCTCAGCAAGCAAAAGATGTCAAATGGCTCCAGATAGAACATGAGGACATAACAAACAGCATTTACAGCTTGCTGAATAAACTTCAGGTATCAGCTCTGAATGTTCCAATTGTTTTTTATGGAATGCTTAAACTGAAAGCCAGCAAGCATGCTCTGATGTCTTTCTTCCCATCCCTGAGAAGGCCACCCTCCAGCTACTAATACTACAACTCAGATAACAATGGGTTTTTTCTCTCTTCTATGACCCCTCAAGTCTGCTGCCTGCAGTGGTTATCTCACTTTCTTTACTTAATAGTAGAGACAGCCTAGTAGTATCTAACTCAATCCTGCCTTCTCATTTTCAACAGTTCCATTTGACTCGCTTATGCAGAAAGAGAGCCCAGTACTACACTAAAGTGAGTACATACACCTCAGAGCTCCTTGAAGAGAGAAGAAAACAACTTGAGCTGTTGACGCAGATTCAGCACCTCAAAAAATGTTCCTTGGATCAACCCACACCTGTGTCCCACCAGTTGAACCTACCTGAATTGAGCCAGTACCTGGATCTGTACACAGAGGTACCATGCTCCCCACCCCAACTAAAAAAATGTGCTAGGCTGGCATGAAATACAGTAGAGTCTCACTTATCCAACCTTCACTCATCCAACGTTCTGTATTATCCAACGCAGACTGCTGCCCGCCCAGATCCACAGCTGTTTCAATACATTGCAATGTTTTGGTGCTAAATTAGTAAATACAGTAATTACTACATAACGTTACCATGTATTGAAGTGCTTTTTCTGTTGATTTGTTGTAAAACATGATGTTTTGGTGCTTAATTTGTAAAATCATAGCGTAATTTGACACTTAATAGGCTTTTTCTTAATCCCTCCTTATTATCCAACATTTTCTGTTGATTTGTTGTAAAACATGATGTTTTGGTGCTTAACTTGTAAAATCGTAACGTAATTTGACACTTAATAGGCTTTTCCTTAATCCCTCCTTATTATCCAACATTTTCGCTTATCCAACCCATTTATGTTGGACAAGCGAGACACTACTGTATGTACAATGTCCCCACAGATTTTGTAAATCTTGGAACATTTTCTAGCCTAATGGAAATCAAATGGAGACAGCAAGAACATATTTTAATATTTTCACACATGTCTTTTCTAAGGGTTTAATTTTATTATTTCCACTTCAATCTTCCTTAGTCCATCTGAAAATGCTTGTGCCTTTTGTGTAGAGGGTACTGGGCTCAATCTGTTTGCTATGGGGTGTCCCAAAGGAGGGCTATATGAATCACTGGAGTTCAAATCTCAGTCAGTATAGAGTGGAAATAGAGGGGAAACTTTGACCATCCAAATGTTTTGGGCAACATTCCCCACAATCATTTATCATTGGACAGGCAACGTAAGCATGATAGAGCTAGTAGGAGAGTTTCTATCCCTTATAACGTCAGCGTAAAATAAGATGGAGCAAGTTGTGACCTGGTGTAATATAAGAGCTTCCTGTAGAAGTGCTTCATAGCACACACAAAAACAACACAAAACACAAAAGCTTATGTCCTTGTTTCTTTTGGTGCAGCAAATCTTGAAAGACATTTCGGAAATGGAAGAAGAACTTGGTGATATAGAACAAAAGCTAAAGCAATTGCAAAATTGTGATAATGAATCAAAACAGTATTTCGAACGCTGTTCAGTTCGTTTCAACGTACAAGATTTTGAGACAGGCATCAAGCAAGAAAAGGAAAGATTCATGCCTGTTGGCCAGTTCCTGAATCCCAAAACTCAGGTACAAAGTGTACTTTAGCATACAGCCATAAGGTCATACTTTTCTGTATCGACACCAGTACATCTGCTTGGATCAGTATATTTGTCATGGGTTAATTGTTCAAAGCAGTTTTGACTACAAACTGTGTCTGCTTAAGGATTTGTTCACCTTGCAGTACATTGCTTCACAGCTTTTATGATATACTACCTTAGGTACCAGACAGTCCCTGGGTTAGTTCAAAGAGACATTGTTTGTTTTGGAGGTATTAGGTAATACCATCTAGTTAAGTAGTAATTCTATTTATTAAGAAAAAGCCAGAATGTGATTTTTTTAATGAATGCTCCCATTAGAAAATACATAATGATGTGTGTAAACTACACTTCCCAGAATCGTTAGTCAATCCTCCCCAAACCAGGCCTGTATGTACAGTTGTTGAGTGTGTGTGCCAAGTTTGGTCCAGATCTGTCTTCTGCTGGGTTCAGTGCTCCTTGCATAAGGGTGAATTACCAACTCCCATATGCCAAAGGCAGCCATCCCCAAATCCTGCCAGTATTTACAGTTGGCCTCAGACCCCCAAACCACCGCAATCTGTTCAGTTGCTGATCAGTTCCTCTGTTTGCTATGTGCCATAGGAAAGGGTAAGAAAAGGTTAAGGGAGAGGCAGTGGGCAGAGTCATGCAAATTTTACACAAGGAACCCTGGGATGCCTGCCTGTGCTGGAGGAAACAAGTCAAATCTAGGATGTGATTCTCCCCAGATGAAAGCATTCTTTGGGTGGTGGGCTGTAGTATTTGGGGAGGACATTGGTAGTTTTTGGGCTGCCATTGTGCCCGCTCTAACCTGCAATGTCAGTTGAGGGAGTGCCTTTGGAGGCTTCTCAGTACTTGGAACTATAGCCTGTTTGAGGAGGTGGGAGACTGTCTGTGTAAGCGGACACCTCTGCCATATGCACACATACACTTTTTTCACTTTTATCATGTGTATAGATAGATGATTGTTTTTATAGACTGAATGTGGTGTTAAATTGTAGGGCACGAGATCAAGGTTGTAGAGCAGTGGTTCTCAACCTGGGGTCCCAGATGTTTTTGGCCTTCAATTCCCAGAAATCATAACAGCTGGTAAACTGGTTGGGATTTCTGGGAGTTGTAGTCCAAAAACATCTGGGGACCCCAGGCTGAGAAGCACTTTAAGACTTTTGTTTGAGAGCATGGGAAACCAGAATAAAACTCCCACTCTCAAAATAAAAATACGTGAGTTACTGTTCGACATTTTCCATGTTGCATGGTTGATAGCATGGAGGCAGTTAATCCCAGTGCCTTCTTTTGCTACTTTGTGTGTACGCTTCACAAATAGTCTTATTTTACAGGCCTGCGTTCAAACTAGATTAGAACTAGATGCAAGAATCACTGACTACTGCAAGGAAACAGAAGATGCCTTCAAAGCCTGCAGAGAGCAAACCAAGGAGCTGCTTCTAGAGCTGAATACACTTAAAGAAGAGGAAAAGCTTAGAGAAAAGCAAAATCATTCTTATGATGCAGCCCTTGCACAAATAGAAAAAAACCATAAACTTGAAAAGGAACTAAAGGCAGCTGAGGAAGACAGAAAGGTAAATAATCACATTTCCCATTTGCTACAATATTGTGGTGTCCCTCAAAGATCACTGCAACGAAGGCAGGAGCATTAAAACACCACAAAAAGGATGAGCTTTCTCATTTTTCAGAACATTCCATCAGCTTGGAACATCCAGCTCAATGGAAGAGTTCAGGATTCAGAAGCCCATCTTTCTTGTGACGTTTTAGCAGGCATAAAGTTTGTATTTTGACCTGTGGACAAAATACAAACTTTTTTGACAGCCATTGTATTCATTAACCCTGGCTAATCAGATGGAAATTTTATGTATATGCAGCAAATCCTATTTTAAAAGGTGATACAGCTGCGGCCTAGGAATTGAGGGGGTTCGGTGGCAACCGGCGGCCTTATATAGTCTCAAGATGGTGAGCAGGGTTACTGCCAATACTTTTTCTGCATAATGATTCTAGAACAGTGTTTCCAAACCTGGGGGCCATGAGGATGTTTCAGAGGGGTCGCCAAAGACCATCAGAAAACACATACTTCAGATGGTCTTAGGAACCCCTTTGTCAGAGAAGGCTGAAGATCTCTCTGCCCGCCCTTCTCTTCCTTTTTGGAAACATGGTAAATCCTCCCACCAAAAGCTCTTCTCCTGCGCTGATTGGCCAACAACTCCAAAACTCAAGGCCAGTGCCCACCAAACCCTTCCAGTATTTTTTCTTTGTCATGCGAGTTCTGTGTGCCAAGTTTGGTTCAATTCCATCGTTGGTGGAGTTCAGAATGCTCTGGTTGTAGGTGAACTATAAATCCCAGCAACTACAACTCCCAAATGACAAAATTAATCCTTCACCCAACCCCACTAGTATTCAAATTTAGGCATATTGGGTATTTATGCCTAATTTGGTCAAGTGAATGAAAATACATTCTGCATATGAGATATTTACAAGACAATTCATAACAGTAGCAAAACTACAGTTATGAAGTAGCACTGCAAAATAATTTTATGGTTGGGGCTCACCACAACATGAGGAACTGTATCAAGGGTTGTGGCATTAGGAAGGTTGAGAACCGCTGTTCTAGAAGGTTCCAAACAGTGCTTTGTACCAGCACAGATTACCCAATTGTGCTAAATTCCATACCATTCTGGTTCTCTTTGACAAAAAGCATTGAGAGAGAGAGAGAGAGCGCTACTGAACTTGCTACTTAACATAAAGTACTTCTGTATTTTAACCAGTCAAGCATTGATAGTTTGTGCAATGATGGGTGTGAATTACATGGAACACTTGTAGTTTCCTTTCCCATTTGCTTTCCTTTCCCATATGAAATAGTGTGGGATTTCCTTGCTGTCTACATTATATCCTTGCAGTCTTTCAATGAGCTCAAGACCATGATATTTATTTATCGTGTCATCAGCAACCAGACATTTGTATTACATTTTTAACAAAAACAAACAGACAAAACACAGAATTTGCAAGCTTGGTAGTTGATTAAATGTCCTTTGACCAGTAGCTGGCCACTTGGAGTGCCTCTGGTGTTGCCGCAAGGAGGTCCTCCATTGTGCATGTAGCAGGGCTCAGGTTGCATTGCAGCAGGTGATCTGTGGTTTCTCTTCTCCACACTCGCATGTCGTGGATTCCACTTCGTAGCCCCATTTGTTAAGATTGGCTCTGCATCTCGTGGTGCCAGAGCACAGTCTGTTCAGCGCCTTCCAAGTCGCCCAGTCCTCTGTGTGCCCAGGGGGAGTCTCTCATTTGGTATCAGCCATTGATTGAGGTTCTGGGTTTGAGCCTGCCACTTTTGGACTCTCGCTTGCTGGGGTGTTCCAGCGAGTGTCTCTGTAGATCTTAGAAAACTATTTCTTGATTTAAGTCGTTGACATGCTGGCTGATACCCAAACAAGGAATGGGCTGGAGATGTCACTGCCTTGGTCCTTTCACTATTGGCTGCTACTTCCCGGCGGATGTCAGGTGGTGCAATACCGGCTAGACAGTGTAATTTCTCCAGTGGTGTAGGGCGCAGACACCCAGTGATAATGCAGCATGTCTCATTAAGAGCCACATCCACTGTTTTAGCGTGGTGAGATGTGTTCCACACTGGGCATGCATACTCAGCAGCAGAGTAGCATAGCGCAAGGGCAGATGTCTTCACTGTGTCTGGTTGTGATCCCCAGGTTGTGCCAGTCAGCTTTCGTATGATATTGTTTCTAGCACCCACTTTTTGCTTGATGTTCAGGCATTGCTTCTTGTAGGTCAGAGCACGGTCCAGAGTGACTCCCAGGTATTTGGGTGCGCTGCAATGCTCCAGTGGGATTCCTTCCCAGGTGATCCTCAGAGCTCGGGATGCTTGTCTGTTCTTAAGGTGAAAAGCACATGTCTGTGTTTTAGATGGATTAGGGATCAGCTGGTTTTCCCTGTAATAGGCAGTAAGAGCACCTAGAGCTTCGGAGAGCTTCTGTTCAACCATCTCAAAGCTCCCTGCTTAAGCAGTAATGGCACGATCATCAGCATAGATGAAGCTCTCTGTCCCTTCTGGCAGTGGCTGGTCATTGTTCTCCTTAGAATATCCCTGTAAAATAGTGTGGACTGAGAAAAAACAATAGCTAGCTCAAGTCACTCACTGAGTTCTATGGCTCAGAGAAGAAGGTTCTATTTTTTTATATATCAGTTTTATACTAATTTATGCAATGCTTTTGATACTAAATAAATAAATAAATGGCTCAAGAGGAACTAGAATCTGGACTTCGCAGATAGTCCCCAGAATCTAAACCCAGTGGTTTCAAAACATGGATTTCCCCAATCTCTCCCTATGAGCCAAACTGGTAATACATCAGTATGTTCATTTACCATCAGCAAAATCTAGTTTTCCTCTTAGAACAGCTATTCAATACCCTAATACCTTGCCATGTTTTATTCCAAGAATCTAAAACTAAAAATCCAAGAGCTTGAAAACCGAGGAAGTGAAGCAGAAATTAGTCTCCAAGAGAAGGAAAAAAGAATAGCTATACTGCAATCTGAACTTAATGTGAGGACATCCAAGAGCGAAGTGCCGAAACTTAAGGCTGCATTAGAAGAGAAAGAAAACTACTTAAGAAGTGCCCTGAAGGAGATGGAAACGCTTAAGGTACGTGTTAACAAAGTTTGCTTTCTGCTTTTATTATTTCAAATTGCTGGTTTCTGTAATGCTGTTAATAAGCACACTTGAGTCCAAAGCAAGGCTCTTTTGTAAAGTTAAGGCTAGGAAGAGGGTGATGCTCTCATCTCCTACATAATATAAGTTACTACATAACTTGTAACTATTCTCTGTGCATAAATAAATAACTTTCTCCTCTTAATCAGATGCATTCTTTCCTCCTCTCAATGTAGACCAAGCTAAGCAAAGGTGCTGAATTCTATAAGGAAGAAAATGAAGACCTCAAAACGAAACTTGTAAATGCGGATATGGCAAGAACAAAGCAGTCCAGAATCTTTGACCAGGAGTAAGTCCTGTTTCATTTAGCAGCAATTTTTTGTAATTGTTGAAGGCTTTCATGGCCGGAATCACTGGGTTGTTGTAGGTTTTTTTGGGCTATATGGCCATGTTCTAGAGGCATTTTCTCCTGACGTTTCGCCTGCATCTATGGCAAGCATCCTCAGAGGTAGTGAGGTCTGTTGGAAGTAGGAAAATGGGTTTATATATCTGTGGAATGACCAGGGTGGGACAAAAGACTTTTGTCTGCTGGAGCTAGGTGTGAATGTTTCAACTGACCACCTTGATTAGCATTTAATGGCTTGGAAGTGCCTGGTGGGAATCTTTTGTTAAGAGTGATTTGATGTGCCTGATTATTTACTCTCTGTTGTTTTGCTGTTGTAATTTTTGAGTTTTTTAATAAACATTTTTAAACATTCACACCTAGCTCCAGCAGATAACAGTCCTTTGTCCCACCCCGGTCATTCCACTGATATATAAACCCATTTTCCTACTTCCAACAGACCTCACTACCTCTGAGGATGCTTGCCATAGATGCAGGCGAAACGTCAGGAGAACATGGCCATGTAGCCCGGAAAAACCTACAACAACCCAATTTTTTGTAATGTTGACATTTTTCAATGCCAAACTATTCAAGAACAGAAATAAGCAACATGTATTACAGAAGTCCCTCTCCATTCGCTGGAGTTAAAGGCATAGGAACCTCACAAAAATGGAAGAGCCATTTGCTTGTCTTTTAGAATCCCTTTTTAAACCTGAGAGAATAATAATAATTAATAAATAATAGTAACACTTTATTTATATTCTGCCCTTCTCACTCCGAAGGGGACTCAGGGGGGATCACAGCACACATACACAGAAAACATTTAATGCCACTTTTGTATAGACAGTGCACAGACAGACAGAACAGAAAGGAGGTATTGTTGACTCCATGTCCAGCTGTTTTGTTTTTTGTTTGTTTGTTTGTTTGTTTGGTGCCAAGGGAGTTGGGTCCAGCCACATGGGGTGCTGTTGCTCCATTCTCTATGTTAAGAGCCATCAGGACTTCCTCCTTCCTTTTTGGTCACCCAGCATTTTCTGATCTTCTTTATGGCGTCGTAAAACACCTCCCCCACTTTTAGCAGCACCTAATTTCTCTAATTACAGCTAAAGCTGTTTTCAAACTGCTCAGGTAAACAGTGACCAGGGCTGACAGACGACTGCTCATGCCGACTGCTCATGCCCCTCGATGGACTGTCACCTTGTCGTGGTGAGGGGGCTTGCGCGTTCCAATGAACCTGTAGGCACAACAACTGGAGTCGTGCACTCCCAGGAGTGGCCGCGGGGGAGGTTCCAGACCAAGCACAGTCCGAAGACCCAAAGACCTCAACGGCGGAGCAGGCGGAGGATAACATGGCACATGTTACAACGGCTGCGAAGGCGGAAGAAGGCTGCAACAGACTGAGAAGCCACGGTCATTGTGTTAAACTACATCACTAGTGGAACCTCACTCTGTGAAGTCTGTGTGTTGATCAGTTGTGCACTGACCTCCACACATTAAAAAAACCCACGCACAGGCGTCTTCCAAAGAAAATAAAAACCAAGCAACCAAAGTCCCATGGCGATCAGCGAGTGGCGACGGGGGCAGGACTGTGAAATCTGGAAGCCCCTAGTCACAGACTGGCACATGGGCGGTGGGTACGGACTCAGTCGTTCTACCTCAAGGTCCGAGGCAGTTGAGTAGTTCGGCAGCTGTATCCGCGACTGAGCAGCCCTTTTTAGGACCCACTCTGCTCACCCCACATGGGGAGGGGGCTAGAAAAGGTGCCCTAAACATAGTCTGCCTCACTTATCCCTGACTGGACTGCCGCGTCCAGTGGGGTCACCACCTTGCGGCCAAAAAAGAAAAATGAACTTCGGTACGTGGAACGTACGGACTCTGATGGACAACAGTGGCAGTGAACGCCCCGAACGCAGAACTGCCATCATTGCAAGGGAGCTGGGACGCTTCAACATCGACATAGCAGCCCTTCAGGAGACCCGGAGAGCAGGAGAGGGACAGCTGAAGGAAGAAAAAGGAGGCTACACCTTCTTCTGGAAGGGACTGCCCGAAAAAGACCAAAGAATGCACGGAGTTGGCTTTGCCATTAGGAATGATCTGGTGAAACATCTGTCCGAAGCACCCACTGGCATCAACGAACGACTCTCAACCCTCCGAATCGATCTTGCCAAAAACCAACGGGCAACCATCATAAGTGCCTATGCACCAACACTAGATGCTGACGAAGACATCAAGGAGAAATTCTACTGTCAGCTGGACACCGTCCTATCGGGGATACCTAAGGAGGACAAAATCATACTCCTGGGGGACTTCAATGCAAGAGTCGGGCGAGACTTCGACCTGTGGCCAGGGACCATCGGAAAAGACGGGGTTGGAAACAGCAACTCAAATGGCATCCTGCTTCTCACCAAATGTGCGGAGCACAACCTTGTCATCACCAACACTCTCTTCCGCCAGAAAAACAAGTTCAAGACATCATGGAAGCACCCCCGGTCAAAGCATTGGCACCTCTTAGACTATGTAATCACACGCGCCAGAGACCGCCGTGATGTGCTCCTCACAAGAGCCATGACAGGTGCTGACGACTGCTGGACTGACCACAGGCTAATTCGATCCTCGATGGCTATCAAGATCGCTCCCAAGCGCAGACTCCAAGGAAGGAAGACAAGGCGCAAAATGAACACCCAAGCCCTTCAGGAGCCCTCCAGACGAGCCCATCTCCAAACAGCACTCAAGGACCATCTACCCACAGTACACCCCGAAAGTGTCGAGGAACATTGGAACAAACTGAAGACCTCCATCATCCAAGCCTGCGAAGAAACTATTGGATACCAAGCCAAGAAACATCAAGACTGGTTTGATGAAAATGACATCGAGATCCAACAGCTAATTGACAAGAAAAGGAAAGCCTTCCAAGCATGGCAGAGAGACATCAACTGTGCTGCTAAGAAAAAGATCTATGCCAGTGCAAAAGCTGAGGTCCAAAGAAGGACAAGAGAACTCAAGAACATCTGGTGGACAAAGAAGGCTGAAGAAATCCAACACCTGGCAGATACCCATGATGCTCAGGGATTCTTCAAAGCCACAAAGGTCATCTATGGACCAAGAAACCATGGCATACAGCCTCTACGCTCATCAGATGGAACCAAACTCCTGAAGGACCAAAACTCAATTGCACTACGTTGGAAAGAACACTACCAAAGCCTCCTGAACCGCAGCTCCAATGTGGCCGAAGAGGTCCTCTCACAAATCCCGCAACAACAAACCAGGGATGAGCTTGCAGCACTGCCTAGTTTGGAAGAAGTCAGCAATGCCATCAGCCAACAGAAAATAACAAAGCCAGTGGACCTGATGGGATCCCTGCTGAAATCTTTAAAGAGGGAGGACCTGAGCTGACACAACAACTCCACCAGCTCATAGAAAAAGTGTGGGTGACCGAGAAAATCCCAGAGGATTTCAAGGATGCCACCATCATCACCCTCTTCAAAAAAAGGGGAAAGAACAGACTGCGGAAACTATCGAGGTATCTCCCTTCTAACCTCCACTGGGAAAATCCTCGCAAGAATCCTTGCAAACCGCCTTCTGCCCTCTCAGAAGACACCCTCCCAGAATCCCAGAACAGCTTCCGCCCCTCCAGAGGAACCGTGGACATGATCTTCACTGCACGACAGCTCCAAGAAAAATGCAGGGAACAAAACCAACCTCTGTACATGGCATTCATCGACCTTGCAAAGGCATTCGACACAGTGAATCGCAGCGCTCTCTGGACCATCCTCCACAAAATCGGGTGCCCACAAATTTGTGAACATCCTGCGGCTCCTCCACGATGACATGATGGCAACAGTCTTGGACAGCAATGGCTCCCAAAGTGACCCATTTAAGGTGGAATCAGGTGTCAAACAGGGATGTGTTATTGCCCCAACTTTATTTTCCATCTTCATCGCTATGATACTTCACCTTGTTGATGGGAAGCTTCCCACCGGAGTGGAAATCATCTATCGGACAGATGGCAAGCTGTTTAACCTCAGCAGACTGAAAGCCAAAGCCAAGGTTACAACAACATCTGTTATAGAACTCCAGTATGCTGATGACAATGTCGTCTGTGCGCATTCAGAAGAAGATCTACAAGCCACTCTAAACACCTTCGCAGAAGCATACGAAGCTTGGCCTGTCACTGAACATCGAGAAAACCAAAGTGCTTTTCCAGCAGTCACTAGCCATTCCCTCTCCAATGCCAGAAATACAGCTCAACGGTGTAACATTAGAAAATGTGGACCATGTTTCCGCTCCTTGGCAGCCACCTCTCCACCAAAGTCAACATCTGACGCCGAAATACAACACCGCCTGAGCTCTGCAAGTGCAGCATTTTCCAGAATGAAGCAGAGAGTGTTTGAGGACCGGGACATCCGTAGGGATACCAAGGTGCTTGTTTATAAAGCTATTGTCCTCCCAACCCTGCTATATGCCTGTGAGACGTGGACTGTCTACAGACGTCACATGCAGCTCCTGGAACGTTTCCATCAGCGCTGCCTCCGGAAAATCCTGCAAATCTCCTGGGAAGACAAGCGGACAAACGTCAGTGTGCTGGAAGAAGCAAAGACCACCAGCATTGAAGCGATGGTCCTCCAACATCAACTCCTCTGGGCCGGCCACGTTGTCCGGATGCCTGACCACCGTCTCCCAAAGCAGTTGCTCTACTCCGAACTTAAGAACGGAAAACGGAACGTTGGTGGACAGGAAAAGAGATTTAAAGATGGGCTCAAAGCCAACCTTAAAAACTCTGGCATAGACACTGAGAACTGGGAAGCCCTGGCCCTTGAGTGCTCCAGCTGGAGGACAGCTGTGACCAGCAGTGCTGCAGAATTTGAGGAGGCACGAGTGGAGGGTGAAAGAGAGAAACGTGCCAGGAGGAAGGCGCGTCAAGCCAACCCCGACCGGGACCGCCTTCCACCTGGAAACCAATGCCCTCACTGCGGAAAAAGATGCAGAGCAAGAATAGGGCTCCACAGCCACATACGGACCCACCAGGAAATCCATAATGGAAGACCATCTTACTCGTCCAACGAGGGATCGCCTAAGTAAGTAAGTAAGTAAGTAAAGTAAAGCTCATGCCGACCCAGGGCTTCGAACTTGCAACCTTTCGGTTGACAGATCTTCTAGTTGCTGGTTGATTTATCAGCTGTGCTAAACCTCCGGCCCTCTTGAGGGATGTTTAGGTCCTCCAGCATATCTCTGTGGTCAACTTCTGCTGAATGTTGACCAAACAGTTGTGCCAAAGAATCTAGAGATTCCTAGAAAGTATCTGTTAATGCAATCCATGAATAATCAAATCCACAAAAGTCAAACTTGCAAATCAGAAAGGCCAAGTTCACTTCGGTACTGAAGAATCTCCAGGCAGTTTTGCTAGCTGAACCCCACCCACTCTACATTTCTCTTGCTGTCTGTTTTTCCTTTATACGTTTATATTTCAAAGAATGGATGAAGAACGTTATTGTACCCTGCAGAGGGGAAGCAAATGTTTTTGAGTTTTTGAATATTCTTTTGATCTCATGTAGCAAACAGAAGGGAAATCTAGCCGCAGGCCAATTACATGGTCTTTGTAATATTTCAAAGATAGTGACTGAATAAAATTGATAAAATTCTATCTTGTAGAGTTTTATGCTTGGGGAAAGACCCCAAATCACTGGTTAACAAACAGTATAGATCAGCATTTCTCAACCTGGGGGTTGACAAGGGGGTGTCAGAGGGGTCAACAAAGACCATCAGAAAAAGTATTTTCTGTTGGTCATGGGGGTTCTGTGTGGGAAGTTTAGCCCAATTCTATCATTGGTGGGGTTCAGAATGCTCTTTGATTGTAGGTGAACTATAAATCCCAAGGACATATAAATCCCAAAAGTCTATTTTCCCCAAACTCCACCAGTATTCACTTTTGGGCATATTCATGCCAAGTTTGGTCCGGATCCATCATTGTTTGAGGCCACAGTGCTCTCTGGATGTAGGTGAACTACAACTCCAAAACTCAAGGTCGATGCCCACTCAATCCTTCCAGTGTGTTCTGTTGGTCATGGACGCCCTGTATGCGATGTTTGGTTCAATTCCATCATTGGTGGAGTTCAGAATGCTCTTTGATTGTAGGTGAACTATAAATCCCAGTAACTACAAATCCCAAATGTCAACCCAACCCTTCCAGTATTTTCTGTTGGTCATGGGAGTTCTGTTTGCCAAATTTGGTTCAACTGCATTGTTGATGGAGTCCAGAATGCTCTTTGTAGGTGAACTCTAAATCCCAGCAACTATAACTCTCTAATGACAAAATCAGTCATTTCCCCCAACCCTACCAGTATTCAAATTTGGGCATATTGGGTATTTGTGCCAAGTTTGGTCCAGTGAATGAAAATCCATCCTGCATATCAGATATTTACATTACAATTCATAAGAGTAGCAAAATTACAGTTATGAAATAGCAACAAAAACAATTTAATGGTTGGGGGTCACCACAACATGGGGAACTGTATAAAGGGGTCATGGTGTTAGGAAGGTTGAGAACCACTGTCCTAACGAACGTATCACATGGTGTTTTGGCCTTTGTCTAACTCTAAGGCTGAGAACGTGTGACTTGTCCAAGATTACCCAGTACGTAGCCATAGCTGAGCAGGGATTCAAACCTTTGTTGTCTCCAAAGACAAAGTCCGACGCTCAAACACTACACGACCCTAGCAATAGGATTTCAACCTCAATTTCTTTTTAGCAAAAAGTGGAATGGCATTATTAGTGAAGTTGATCCAACTCTCTCTTGATTTTCTTAGGTTGGCAAATGCCAAAGCTCTCATTGAGCATAAAGAGCAACAGTTAAGAAAAGTAAAGGAAGAGCTCCGCAAACTGCAACAAGATCAAGATACAACTGGTAGGTACAGAATAATCCAATACGTGTTCTAGGGTATCAATGTGTTTTGAAGGTGCATTTCTCAAGATATGGTGACTTATCCATTTTTTTGTCTTTGTATGCTTAAGAGTTCATATTCCTTTATGTTTTCCTGGAATGCTGATAAACATTCCAGAATCATTTGATGAAACTTAGCATGTATTGTAAAATTTATATTACACAATTGGTAGCACATTTTAGTGACATCAGATCCCAATAATTATATTATCCAGTGTTCCACTAAGTTTATTAATTAAGACCACTTGTAATTCTGTTTTGATGCAGGTTTAGAATTCCCTATCCAGAATTCAAAATCGGAAATACTCCAAAAACCCTAATTGTCCATTTGGGTAGCTGAGATAGCAACACCTTTGCTCTCTGATGGTTTGCTATACACGAATTGGTTCAATTCACGAATTCATTAAAAATACTATGTATAAAATTACATTTAGTCTATGTGTACAAGATGTGTTCAGAATATAAATGAATTTCATGTTTGGACTGTGCTCCTATCCATATGAACATATATGAAAATACAGGTGTTCAATAAATACATACATTGATAAATACAATACAAGATAGATGCTTTTGAACTGTGGTGTTGAAGGAAAGTGCTGAGAGTGCCTTGGACTGCGAGAAGATCCAACCAGTCCATCCTCCAGGAAATAAAGCCCGACTGCTCATTGGAGGGAAGGGTACTAGAGACAAAGTTGAAGTACTTTGGCCACATCATGAGGAGACAGCAAAGCGTAGAGAAGACAATTATGCTGGGGAAAGTGGAAGGCAAAAGGAAGAGGGGCCGACCAAGGGCAAGATGGATGGATGGCATCCTTGAAGTGACTGGACTGACCTTGAAGGAGCTGGGGGTGGTGACGGCTGACAGGGAGCTCTGGCGTGGGCTGGTCCATGAGGTCACGAAGAGTCAGAGATGACTGAATGAATGAACAACAACAACAACAACAAACATTTCAGGTCCTAAGCAATTCAGATAAGAAATACTTATAGGTTGTAGGTACCGTATTTATGTTTGCCTCCAGAGACAGAATCTATAACTTGTTGCCTGGGCCTTTAAGAATATGGTAGCCGGGAAGGAGCTCAAGCCTCAGCTCCAGGACAGCAGTTATTTTAGATTTAGGCAGATCAGTTGGAGTCTAGGTATGGAAGGAAACAGAGGGATAGAAAGTGCATAAGAATTCACTGTTCTGCCTCTGTGTTGCTATGAGGTTGGATTAGAAGGAATTGCAGTGTTCCCTCACTGCTTCGTGGTTCGCTTTATGCAGACTCACTGTTTTGTGGTTTTTAAAAAAATAATGTATTTTTAAATAAAGATGAATTTATTGGCGCTGGCGGAAGGAACGTGCTGAGGCGTTGCTGTCAGGGAAAGAGGAGGAGGAGGAGAGGAGGCTGCCATTGAGAGCAAGGGAAGCACCATTACCTTCAACGAGCTGCCTTCTCTTCTCCCATCCACACCTCCTTCCTACTCCGGTGAGCTCTCCCTCTGCCTCCCGGCCTGCCTGCGTCCACCACCGGCCATAGTGTCCAGCAAGGAGAAGCGGGTGGTCCCCAAAGAGGTAAACAAGCGGACCCAAGGCCCAAGGTTGCTGGAGGCAGAGGGGACAGGGTCGAGAGAGCGAGGGTCATCTTTGGCAGAGAAGGCCTCGGCCAGGCAGGCGCTCTTTCCCTTCCTCCTTGCCTGAGCGCCTGGCCTTTCCTCAGTGGTCTCATGTCGAAGCGCTGATTTAGGAAGGAAAGGAGGGGGAGCCAGCCGTCCCTACTTTGCAACATTTCACTTATCACAGGGGGTCCTGGAACGGAATCCCCACGATCAATAGGAGCATAGTGTCTAGATCTAAGGAAGTAATGCTACCCCTCTATTCTGCTTTGGTTAGACCACATCTGGAATATTGTGTCCAATTCTGGGCACCACAATTCAAGAGAGATATTGACAAGCTGGAATGTGTCCAGAGGAGGGCGACTAAAATGATCAAGGGTCTGGAGACAAGCCCTATGAGGAGCGGCTTAGGGAACTGGTCATGTTTAGCCTGAAGAAGAGAAGGCTGAGAGGAGATATGATAGCCATGTATAAATATGTGAGAGGAAGCCACAGGGAGGAGGGAGCAAGCTTGTTTTCTGCTTCCTTGGAGACTAGGACGCGGAACAATGGCTTCAAACTACAAGAAAGGAGATTCCATCTGAACATTAGGAAGAACTTCCTGACTGTGAGAGCCGTTCAGCAGTGGAACTCTCTGCCCCGGAGTGTGGTGGAGGCTCCTTCTTTGGAAGCTTTTAAACAGAGGCTGGATGGCCACTTGTCAGGGGTGATTTGAATGCAATATTCCTGCTTCTTGGCAGGAGGTTGGACTGGATGGCCCATGAGGTCTCTTCCAACTCTTTGATTCTATGATTCTATGATTTGAGGGAACACTGTATAACACAAAAAGAGATTGGAAGCTATATGTAAATTGAAATGTTTTAGTGAAACAAACTGAATTTCCTTTCCCTTATTTGCCACTGAAAAGGAAATCCTATAAGCTTCTGCAGCCCTGTTCTTAACTCAAAATGTGACTGTTGTTGTTTTACTATATAGATATTAGATATGACTTTACTTTTCTTTACTATCTATTACTATAATGCTACTATCTATATCTTTCTATTATCTATATAACTATTTATCTCTGACTGGACCATTTGTTTATCTCCATTAATTCCTCTGCACTTTCTATCCCCCTGTTTCTTTCCATACTTAGACTCCAACTGATCTGCCTAACTGTAAAATAACTACCATTCTGGAGCTGAGACTTGAGCTCCCCCCCCCCCCCCAAATATTCTTAAAGACACAGGCAACAAATTATAGATTCTGTCTCTGGAGGCAGGCTGTTTTCCTTATCTAAAATGGTTGACAATCTGTTTTGTCAACTTAAACCAGGACATCTCACATATTTGGTCTCTATTTCTGGCCTGTATTCTGGTATACTAGGTACTAAAAGTGTTTGCCTTCTGTGGTAGGAATATTGTTGAGGTCACGCTCAAGCAAGCAAAATGGTCTGCCATTTTCCTTGAGCTGTTGTATTTTTGAGATTTTGATAGCCTTCTTTTAAACAAGTTGCAGTACTGTCAAGCAAAGACCTTCCTCAGCCACCTCAGCCAATCACCTACGGTGGTGGAAGTGGCATCGTTCAAAATACTCACCTGCTTATGCTGAAAAGTGAGCATGCCAAGCTGGAAAAGAAACACAGTCAGCTCCAGCAAGAACATGAAGTCGTGTTGGCGTAAGTCTTAAAATTACATATAATTTTGTGTGCATATTGGTTCTCTGAGCTTTTGAGTTTGTCACTCTTACCATATAATGATGATACATTTATTACCTGCCTCTCCCTGTGGTTCGAAGCGGGAAGCAACATCATTAAAACAAGAGATAAAACTCCATTAAAAACATACAAGATACACGGAGTTAAAACACAAGTTAAAATCCATTGATAAAATCCTGGACATTCCACAGATATATGAACCCCACTTGCCTAGTTTCCTACAAATCTCACAACCTCTGAGGGTGCCTGCCATAGATGTGGGTGAAACATCAGGAGAGAATGCTTCTGGAACATGGCCATACAGCCCGGAAAATTCACAGCAACCCAAAGCCATTATAACCTCCAATTGGTTTGTCCAGGTCACCTGTGCCTAGACAAGCCACACTCTGTGGCTGGTGGGTCATAATTGCTTTGATTACAGCTTGACCTGGACAAACCAGTTGGAACTTATAATGGCTTTGAGTAGCACGTAATCCATTTATGACCTGAGACAAAGCCATTTTACTTCTAGATCACATAATAGTTATGGCATCCTTTCCCAACACAGTATACTCTAGATGTGTTATTCCAACTGCCATAAGCTCTAGACAGACAAGACCAGTGGTCAAGGAAGTTGGGAGTTGTCACCCAAAATACCCTGTTGTGAAAGGGTATGGCATTTTATAAAAACTAGAGTCTTGAAATTTAAGCGTAGACAGCCATGAAGGTTATATTGAGCCTGTTACATGCTTCTTGGCTCAAACCACCTAACAGGAAAAATCATAAAAAGAAGAAGGGATTGTGGACTCATAATTTGAGCTGTCTCGGGTAAGGCAAGGTATAAATAAAATGAAACACATAAATTGATGTACTTGCATCACTTCATATGGTCATTTCAAAGTTGCTTCTTTGTACTGTAACTCTCATAATATTCCAGTTTGGACTGGAGAATTCTGGGATATGCAATCCGAAGAAGTAATTGTTTCCAGGTTTTGCCATTTTCATAGACAAAAGTTAATTGAAAAATAGATCAGTGGAAACAAGTCCAAAAGCCCTCTTTTAGACAGTTGAAGGCTTCTCTCTCTTTTTTTTTAATAAAGAGGGTAGCAGAAATTCAGAAAAGAGAGAGAGAGAGAAAGAAAAGTAAATTTTAGAGGAGCCAGGACATTGTAAGGAATGTCCACATTCTCCCAAAGCTGTGACCAGATTCGTAATGTTGACCTTGTTCTTGCTTCCAGGTTATCTGAGTCCCTCTGCAGAGGTAGAGAAGATCGGGATATAAAAGTTTTAAATAAATACGTTTTAAAAAAATATCTCCTTTTTCGAAAGCAGAAACTCGTGACCAAAACATAGACAAAATCAGACACCTAACATCAGACTAGACATTTTTTACTGTATCTGTGTAGCTCCCTTCACATCCCTTCAAATCCCTCGATTTCTAACATCCTACTGGAAGTCCAAAACACCTGAAAGGCCAAGGTTTGCCCATGCCTGGTTTATACGGTATCCACTAGGCTTGCACAAAATTTCTGATGAGATTGGAACTCTTATCTGATTCATTAAATTTGGACATTCGAAGGTGAGTTCCGACGCATGCAGGAAAGGTGGGGTGGGGATTTAGAATTTGAATCACTTATCCATTTTTTGTAAATGTTCTGTAATGTTTGAATGTTTCCCAAGGTCTGTTTAATTTTCACCATAACCATTAAGCAACTTCGATAAAGCTGCTTTTAAAATCTCATTCCTTTGGCCCAGGCATGTAGCCGGGGGGGGGGGTGCTTTGGGGGCTTCATCCCCCTCCCCAAAATTCTCATGGTGGCCTGCGAAAAGGCCTTACTGGTACATTATTTAAACTGTTATGTTTATTCATATCATGATCTGATCACCATGCTCAATATATCCCATATGCATGGGGGTATTGGGGTAATGATACAAAAGGTTTGCTAGGGTAGACCCTCTTTCACTCAGTCTCAGCCCTCCCCCCCCCCCCCCCGAGTAATA